ATTCGCCTGTGCTACCGCCAGGCACGAGGCCATGCACGCCGGCGCCGATCAGGTGGTCGATGTGAGACTTGAGTCTTGCTGCGTCAATCTGAGTCTTGTCGTCTGTAAAGGGAGTGATCAGGGCGACCATGATACCCTGAAGGGCGGGGAGTTGCTGTGTGACAGTCATGTTGGATGTAGTGGTGATTGCTTAGTATAGCTAGGAAGAAGAACGTGAGGATGGAACGAGGGAGTGTCTGCTGGACTCGTGAGTGAGCCTTGAAGGCATTTTTATTCCATGACGCGACGGGACTGCCTTCCCTCTCAACTACACTCCAAGTCTATACTACACTGCTAATGATGTTCTGGTCAATGGCAAAGCCCTAACTCTCTGGATAGGATGTCGGAGGGGTTCCAAGATATCCATGCCGGAACCCCCTTCCTGTTTTGGCGATGCGGATAACCCAACGGAAGGCAGTTCCGGCATGCAGTGGGGGGCCCTTTAGCGCATCCACTGGCGCCAGACTATCAATGCGTCCCAACATCAAAGAAATGAGGGGTAATGGGGCGATCTTATCCTCGTTATCGCCTTATCGGAAGAGACAATTGCTGACTAGTGACACACTTCAATTGCAAAGTGGGCTGCTCGGAGGCACATCCCACATCCGGAACAGGAAGTTCTAGCCAAGCAGCTTATATCAGAACGACACATCTGTCTTCGCGCTGCTTATCCCTAATTTCTGCAAGAGTTGTTATCTTTCTACTTTAAGACCCAGAAGAGAATATGGCAGACTCCCTCTTCGTCGACATCACCACCCCCAATGGCCGGCAGTACCAGCAGCCGACCGGCCTGTTCATTAACAATGAGTTTCGTCCCTCGTCGAGTGGCCAGACTATCGTGTCTTTAGATCCTGCGTATGCACCTTACATCTAAACTACTCTCAACCTTCCATGCTGACTTCTACAGCACCGACAAGCCCATCGCCACCGTCCACGCCGCAACAGCAGAAGATGTCGATGCTGCCGTTCAAGCTGCCAAAGCGGCGCTATCACACTCCTCATGGAAGCTTCTCCCCGCCACCGAGCGGGGACAGCTTATGGGTCGTCTGGCCGATCTGATGGAAGAGAATCGAGAACTATTTGCTGCTATTGACGCATGGGATAACGGTTCGTATAGCCCCCCTTGTCACCGCTGTGCGGAAACTGACTTGGCCAACAGGCAAACCCTACCAAGTCGCCCTAACCGAAGACCTCACTGAAGCCATCACCACCATCCGCTACTACAGCGGCTGGGCTGACAAGACCTTCGGACAAACCATCAGCACCACTCCCCAAAAGTTCGCATACACTATCCGCCAACCCATCGGCGTGGTCGGACAGATCATCCCATGGAACTACCCGCTGTCGATGGCGACGTGGAAGCTGGGACCCGCGCTCGCCTGCGGGAACACCGTCGTCATCAAGGCCGCCGAACAAACACCCCTCAGCATCTTGGTCCTCGCAACACTCATCAAGAAAGCCGGCTTCCCGCCCGGAGTGGTGAACATCATTAACGGCTACGGAAAAGAAGCCGGCGCTGCGCTGGTCCAGCACCCGCTCGTCGATAAGATTGCCTTCACGGGCTCCACTGCTACCGCCAGAGAAATCATGAAGATGGCAGCCGGCACATTGAAGAACATCACCCTCGAGACTGGCGGAAAATCGCCCTTAATCGTCTACCCCGATGCGGATCTGGAACAGGCGGTCAAGTGGTCGCATTTCGGCATCATGTCCAACAAAGGCGAGATTTGCACTGCTACGTCAAGGATCTTCGTGCATAGGAGTATCCTCACTACCTTCTTGGAGAAATTCAAGGAGGCAATCGAGACGACTTCTAAGATCGGCGATCAGTGGGACGAGAATACCTACCAGGGACCACAGGTCACCCGGGCACAGTACGACCGGGTTCTCGCCTACATCGAGACAGCCAAACAGGAGGGCGCTACACTAGTCACCGGCGGCAAGCCCTATACCCCCAAAGATGAAAAGAATGCAAAGGGCTACTTCATTGAGCCGACAGTGTTCACTGACGTGACTGATGACATGCGCATCTGTAAGGAAGAGGTGTTCGGGCCTGTGGTGGTGATTCTACCATTCGATTCGGAGGAGGAATCGGTGCGTCGCGCCAACGATACCACGTATGGTCTGGGCGCTGCGGTCTTCACAACGGATCTGGAGAGGGCGCATCGTGTCGCGGCGGATATCGAGGCAGGCATGGTCTGGATTAATAGTAGTCAGGACTGTGACCCGCGCATTCCGTTTGGAGGTGTCAAGCAGAGCGGTATTGGGCGTGAGTTGGGTGAGGCGGGACTGGAGGCGTATTCGCAGGTTAAGGCGGTGCATGTTAATATGGGGAGTAGATTGTAGATTAGGCTAGAAGGCAATATGCTTCGATGAATAAACTCTGATGACTTTTTCATGTTCTAAATAAGGTTGATTGTTCTCTGTCATCGGCAACTGAAGGTTTCCCTGAATGAAGCGCATGAAGTTAAACTGGTGATGTAAGAGCACCTGTAGTAGTCTCCATTGTGGAATTTGTGGCGTTGTTTATCAGTATAACTGGTATGTAGTATACTAGTAGTCTCAGCTTTACTTCTTTTGAGCAGCACCTTAGCGTAAGTAGACGGTGCACAAGCAAATATATATTTCTTGTACAACACGATCACATCGTCAACTTCCTTGTTGAACTGGACTCGACTAGAAATCCAAATAAACAGAATTATTCGTTCTTTATAATTAGAAGAAAAATTTCTTTTTTCTGAAAAGTTGACAATACTTGTCGTAGCTAGTACTCATATTATTGTTCTCCATTAAGTGCGACACTGCTCATCTAAATCCACAATGGCGATTTAAAAACGGTGTTCTTCCGCAGGAAGAACCAATAGCAGGCGGACAAACCCACTCTGGACACTATCGGGAAAAAGCAAAAAGAAATTGCTGTGCATCATCCGTGAATCGAACACGGGCCTCATCGATGGCAACGATGAATTCTACCACTAGACCAATGATGCTGGTGCTTGTAATGCTTGGCAATTGAGTGATCTAAGAGCCAGTGAATTATATGATCATGATGTGGAATGGTTGGATCGACTCTCTAGAACTTTGAACTCTCTAAAGCATTTCGCTATAGTAATATCGAACATTCGTGAATGACTGCAAAGTAAGAAGACGACAGCTGCCTGCAAGTAAAACCCTTGCAGACATACATGACTGGGTCTAACCCTCACATCCATCTCAGACTTTTACTAAACCCAACAAAAACACTAGAATTCTTGAACAAAGGAAGCATCCAAATCACCGCCGTCCACGCCGTCCACATCTTCCACGTGCGCTTATCAGCATCTCCTTCGCGAAGGAATAGGATCCTCCCAGCAATGGCCATTCCCAACGCAACCGGGAGAACATACCCGGGTACGTCCAACTCCCAGAAAGCAGGACAAACAACGGACCAGATCGCAACAGGAATCGCAACGGACCACCGGGCCGGCCCGTCACCCAGCACAATGGGCATTGTATGGCGGTTCTTCGCACGGTCTCCTCTCACGTCCTTGACGTCTTGAATATGCATCGTTGTGCCGATCACGGCACTGGTGAGCCAATTCCACCGCCATGCTCTAGGAAGTATGTCGAACCCGGTTCCGGTCGCGACACGCAGTGATCCCTTGTTGTATTGACTGAATGCGAGGGCTAGAAGGACATTCCGTAGAATGAACCCGTCGTCACCACCGCTGAGGTCATTGTATACCCAGTTCATCGTGTAGAGGAGAGCAGTCTCCTCCCATGCACCGAGGTAGACGCTGAGTCCGAGGACAACTGGGATCGCAAGTAAGAGTAGCTGGCGAGTATGCAGGATGCTGATCCGACCTGCGGGCAGTGGTCTCCAGGGTCGGTTGATTTTGTCTTCTGCCACGGAGTCCGGGTGCCTCTGATTCGCCAGGTTGAACACGAACAGGTTTAGCCAGTTCCATAGCATGACCATGGGTATTCGACTGACTACTGAGAGTAAGTCCGGAGTGTTGTCGTCTGTCAGAAGAGGCCCGGACAGAGCAGCACAAATGCCAAATGCTGTCTCAGGAATGACAAATGTTGTAAAGTCGTCCGCAGTGAAAAGCCAGATAGTCAGCGCTAGGTCCTTCCAATACCATCCTTTCTATACAGTTGTGAGCTTTATGAATTGATGGTTCTATCCAAGATCACTCACTTTGTAAGCCCTTGTATTGCTCTGTCTTGTCTTCACGACATCGGTTTTAAGTGCAGCATTTGCAGCGCCAAGTAAAGAAGTGAAAATCTCGTAGAAGCGAGAAAAATCAAGAAGATCCATTTTTTTCGGCATTTCAGACTTTGATCTGCTTCCACAGCAGAGAGATGTCTGCGTTGGTCTTTGCAAAATATCTTGGAGAAGGACCAGACTCGGGTGTGTCGCACCCTTATATTCCTGGAATCAATTCATGTCAAGATTGGAGTTGGCACTATAATAGCCTGAGAGTCCACCATTCAGCTCCTGTCTGCAAAACTTTTGCAGTGGCTGGCTGTCTCAATACTCAGCTAAACCTACGGCCAAAGCCGACGAGCTGGTGTATGATACCAATCTAAGCAAAACGTTGAGGTTTGGTTATCCTTGCCGATGGCGCCCTCTTGATACGGGTTGTAGCTGAACCGTTGCACAGCTGAATAACGCCACACATGGTCTTGTCAGACGGGGCGGAACATAGCGCTGAGGTGGCTTTTTCATGCTGTCAGATAATATTCACCAGTGAAGTCAGTTGAATCCTCGGACCCAGTTGCCTGCGCAGTCTGGTGCAAAAGCCAAGGTCCTGGGGGCAAATGTGGTCATTCCAGCCGATAGGCGGGAGGTGACAATAGGACAACAGAGTCAGCACTAGCGTTGCGTTCTGATGCCTAACAGGATTGTTCACATATTCGACCTGAATGAAGCAGTGCCTTGTGGGATGATGTGCCGCACACAATGTATCATAGAGTGTTTACAACATTGCCAGCCAACCAACTTTTAGCCGTCGCATCAAAGGTACCCTCATCTTCGACGCTCGCGCCAGGCTTGTGCCTTTCTGCTCCCTTAGCAGCCGTCCAATATCCATGTAGCTTTCCACGGTTGCCCGAAGTGGCCCTCTTACACCACGAGGTAGCTCCTCAATTGCCTCTCGGCTGACCTGATAATATCCATCTGCTTTCTGCAGCATTCTCTCCTGCAGGCCATACATGATTGGGATATTAGGACGCTCTAATACATCTCCTGGAGTCAGGCCTACTTCATCCAGCCACGTTGTAGGAATATATACTCGTCCAATTTCTGCGTCGCGATGGATATCACGTGCAATGTTGACACACTGCATGGCTTTGCCCATCTCCTTCGCCGCCCGTTTCAACAGCGGCACATCTTCCGTATTGTCGTGGCCATGATAAAATAGGACAAGATCGAGAACTAATGCACCCACCGCGCCAGCTACAAAACCTGCGTACTGATCAAGGCAAGTGTCCGATTTGATCGGGAAACCTCCTTTCTTAGGATCGAATGCCAAGTCGGTCTCGAACCCTCTCAGCAAATCATAGAAGAAATTCTCAGTTAAGCGGGAGAGTGGAAGGTAGCTGATCGATTGGTACAGCCTCTGATATTTTCCCCCTTGTTTAGAAGCATGACAAGCGTCATGCGGTAGTCGACCGCGATGGCTTAAGTCTAGGAGGTATCTGCACTCTGTGATCCAAGTCTTGGCTTCCTGATCATCTTCAGCTTCGTCAATGAGATCATCCATGACGCGGCAGAAGGAGTACCTATGCATATCAGAAGAATGAACAACACATGAGATTGAGGGGCATTACAAGAATATGAGATCAATGCGTAGCTGACCCTGAAATAATGCGCTGCCGAGAAACATGCTCTGACTCTTCTCTTGCAGACAATACACAGCCTGGGACAATGCAGATAGGGATTCGTCTATAGACGGCAGACTGCACAATAACGACAGAGCTGTCCTGAGCATGGTGCCCTTGTCTGCTGCTGGCCGTGATAGGGATTTGTATTCTTGGAGTGCATATGCGTAATCAATCCCAACTAGTCCTAACACAATCATCATATTTGTGACCAGGAAAAAGAGTGCCTCTCTGTTACTGTTAGACTTCATGTCTAATGATCACAGGTGGGTTTGACTGACTCAACTTCTAGCCCACCGATACGATAATCCAATTTTGTGCCACTCTCTATCCTCCAAGTCCCAGATTCCATAGCACGGGAATCCGCAACCCGTAAATATAGCGTAGGGAGGCAGATCGCGGCGATTGTGGGTTTTGCGGGAAGTCCAATAAGAAACGGATGGGACAACATCCTGTATTCTCGCATGAGCATTTAAATAGATTCAGGGTGGACTGATCTTACCACTGGAATAGCAAGATTGGACTGACCCACACAAGGATCAGGCCCAGGTAAGTCATATGCCGTCCCAACAGCAGGCACGTTGTTCCACCACCCATCAAAGTTAATATGACAAATGCAACCACATTTCTTGTTCTACGTCTCTCCGGATGCGGCCGAAGATACATGGGTCGCACAAGTGGCTTCGTGAAGATACAATATGCCACACTCGTGATGTAGGTTTGTATGGCAAAAAAGAAAACCTCCTCAATAGGAATATCGAGTATCTTGGGACCGACTACTGCGTCGGGCGGATACGTCCAGATAGCAGACCGTATCAGGTAGGAATCCCAGGGGATTGTTGCAAGAATGGCAATCTGTCAGTCCCAGGTAGATTAGATCAGAAGTCCTTGGTTTCAAGGTACGGTTGAAGTACCGTAATCAGAATGCATATTTTGCAACAGTCTTGCGCGGCGAAGAATGGGTAGTAGATCACTGTCAGTGCCGATGCAGCAGGAATAGTGTAAGTGCAATGACTACTTGCGCACTTAGAATTAGCAGATGTAGAAAAGAGATTGGTAGTAGAGACGCCTCTTACAAGAGAATATAGTCGACCCCCATTTTGCTTCATGGTTATCTCGCACTCCCTTACGGCGAGCACCAAGAGTATGAAACATATATCTGGAAAAGGGCGTTCAGCCCCCTTTGCAAGGTTCAGCCGAATCCTGTTTCACTGCCCCAGCTTCCGGATAGGAACCGGTTGCGGTTGCGTCTGAGATTCATGAGGACTAGAAAGTTTGTTTGTGATGGTCATTGCGCCACTGGAATACAGGGATAGATTTGAGAAAGTCTAGTTTGGATTAGTGCCAAGGAGCTTAGAAGTCGTCCACCCGCTGTCAATTGCATATTGGAGATGCCCTCATTGAGTATCCGATCGGCAGACCAGAATGATGGCAATGCGTGAGGTGCTGACTTATTCTGACCTCATGACAAGAGTATAGCTGGTCGGAGTAGTGACCAACGCAAGAAACAGTGACCAGCTGGTCTTTCTCGACAGTATTGAGCTGTGGCGACCAAAGACGGGATTGACGCGACGAAAAAGTAAGTCGTAAGTTATGAGTAGAAAACGAGATGAAGCTGTAGTGGGGAAGACCAATTAGAGAAAGGGGGTGGGTCACGCTATCGGGGTAGTTACTACGTACTTACTACTGCTAGATGCCCTCAGGGACTCCCCCACTCTTGACAGCTTTCTTATCAACACAGTCTGACTGCATTGGCTGTTTCATGCAAATGTCTTTCGATATGCAATGCTCCGAACGCTTTATCGTTCATTACTTCATTTTAAGATAAACCACTACCAAGCTAATTCTGGTCTGGCCATGCAGCTCGCCGCTTCCAGCTGAGAACAGAACCTCTCCTCCTCTACCAGCTTCCCCGTCCTCACTTCCCCAGTCATCTTGGGAACAGCGGGCCAGATCTCCTCCCCGCCTTGGGCCTCTTCTTTTCGCCGGTGTTCCATGACCATTGTCTTCACATCTTCTTGAAAATGGATGGGCCCCTGCCCACAGTCAGTTCTGCCCAATCTCACGTCTCTTCTGTCAGTGTCTCATACATACCCTCTCCTTGTCCGGGTGAAGCTCGCCGTTCGTGAACACACCCGCGCTCAAATTTTCCTGTGCTCCAACACAGAGATCTTTGTCTTCATCCAGGACTTGTCGGTAAAACGCATTAATATTGGCAAATTCCTCATCCGTTGCATCTCTGTGTCGATATACTTCGTTTTCGATCTTGCTGGTCGTCGCGCTAACAGGAATCATGCGTTGAATGTAGAAGAATTTATCCCTGCTATTGTGTTAATAGACCATCGACTCCTTCCCTTTTGGGTACAAACTTACGTGACTGTGACCGATGTGGTTGGGTAAAAGTATGTAATTGACCTCCGGAACTGTGCGTCAATATTGTCCTTGTTGAAGATATGATGCTCCATATACCTCGCCTTGGGCTCGACCCGGTACCGAGGAAGATCCGACACTCCATTGATTAGGGGATGTGAGGTCGCGCAGTGATAACATTCATTGTAGTTCTCGATCAGAAGCTTCCAGTTCGCCTCCACGTCCATTTCCCAGTAATGGTCAAAGGCGTATTCCCCATCGAAGTCAAAATCCTGCATCCGCGGCTGCTCATCGATCTTTTGGAAGTCGTCGTCCCACTTGACCTCCGGGTCGCCGGCCTCTAGATTCACCCAGACGAAGCCCGCTTTGTCGATATGCACATGGATTGGGAGGAGTCCATGTTGACTTTTGTCAAAGCTTGGTACGGTTTCGAAGCGAGGTGCCTTTGATAGGTTGCCCTTCAATCCGTAGGACCAGCCGTGATACTTGCAGCTGAGGATAGAGGTAGTTCCGGACCGAGCTTGGACTACCGGGTATGCGCGATGTCGACAAATGTTATGGAATCCGTTGATGTTGCCGTCGCGGTCTCGAGTCAGGAAGAAGGAAAAGTTAGAGATGGTAAAGGAAAGAAAGTTGCCAGGCTTGGTAAGTCGACTGGAATGTGTGAGTAACATCCATCGCTTGGAGAAGATGGCTCGCCGCTCCAGCTGATACATGGCATCAGAGCGATACCATGATGCCGGAAGGCTCCGAGGTGGAGAGCTTTTCTCTGGGGTGTTGGAGGACCGGCCAAGTAATCGCCACATCGTGATGGGGTTTGTAAACAAGTTGTTGAGGTGGCTCAGAGGAGCTCAGATCATCACAGTGCCTTTATAACAGCGCAGCGCTGGTAAGTGGGGTCTTGGTTCGGCGTTGTCGCATCAAAGATGGGGGCGTTGGGAGCTCGCCCGAGGACACCACCGATAAGGAATTGGATAAGGATCACTAGCTTTTCTGTCACATCCACCGGCTGTCCAGCCGTTCTTATCCAACTCAGAAAAGAAGAAAGAAAAACATGGGTGCTAATCCTCCTTTGGTCACTGGTCGCTGCTACATATCATCCCTTGGGTACGATTGGGGGATTACGAACCCCTTGACACACTCTCCATTTCACGTCTTTAAGTAAGTGCCAAGCTCCAGTTTATTATATGCTATCTATTATGTGTATCAGTCGTTCAAGTCGTATCTAGGCTAGATCCATTCTTCTATCCCAGTGTCGAGTCTTTTTTTTCTTTTTCCCGGCTAGCCCGGCCGTCACTAACCCAACTCACATTTTGCTCGTATTCCGCAGTTTCCTGAGCAAGAACGTGGCTGCTCCAATCAAAACCGACCCTAATATCCCACAGCAAGCACCGAAAAGTTGCAAGCCCGAATAATCCGTGTAGTTCTGCTTTTCGAGAATGGCACCCATGATCGGCAATCCGGTCAGACAGCTGCCCAAGTTAGCAAGCAGGAAACTGAATTTGCTTGTGAGACCTGATACTCACCTCACTGACATGATCAGCTGGAATGTTCCGAATCGCTGACCTAGGGTCTGCAGATCCCCCACTTTGGCAACACATGGCATCATGAGAGAGACAACAGCGCCACTGACAAAGCCATAGACCGCCGAGAACACGATGATTCCTGCATGAGAAGGGTGGTAATTGAAAGGAAGCCATAGACAGAGCATTGACACGCCGGTGCCGAAGCAGCAGAGTGTTAGGACGTTGAAGTGACCAAAGACATCTGCCAACTGAGGAGGGATAAGACGCCCGAATATAGAGGCACCACTACATTTCCCGAAGTTAGCACTGAGGCTTGCGAAAGAAAGCATCGCGCAGTCTTACTTGATAATGGAAATAAGATAGAGAGCAAGAGTCGATGAAAATCCCGCGTTCTCCGCCATGCTGGAAAGATAATCGAACGGAGCCCAGAGTCCCCACCTGTCACTGTCAGTCAATAAGCAGGGTCATCGATCGGAATATTGACGAACATAATGAAGAATGCACCAGCGGTGTACAACCCAAATGCGGTATCCTTCAGCAGAGTCAGGTCGATCCACGCTGCTTTACCGTTCCACTCCTTACGCGGAAGACGGCTGCGGATCAGTAGGCAGGCTACTGCCAGCATGATTCCGACGAATAGCGCGGTATACCGAACGGCACCATAGAAGCCGATGTCGTTGATGACCCGGTCGAGAAAGATCGGAAAGATAACACCCCCAAGTGAACTTCCAGATACAGCAATGCCAGTTGCAAGACCTCGGCGACGAACAAACCATTGGCCGACGCAAATCATGGCCGAAGTGAAAACACCACCTGCGCCGATGCCGAAGCAGAGACCCTGAGCAAGGAAGATCTGATAATACTCGTGAGCCAAGCTGGTCATACAGAGTCCCAGCACGCAGAGAATGCTGCATGGCCAGAGGACCGGGATCGGGCCGTAAGTGTCAATTATGCGACCCCATAGTGGTCCCGGTGCCCACATGAGGGCCAGCTGCACGGCGAAAATCCATGATATGTCGGACGCGTCGTAGTCTTTGAGTGACGTCTGCTGGTATGTTGTTTGAAAAACACCGATACTGTGATAAGATCAGTACGGAGTACAGGGGACAGTTTTAGCCCGTCGATACATACGCATTTAGGAACCCAAAGGAGGAGAATAGGGCGCAAAAGCCTCCAGCCACGGTCAGCCAACCCTTGACCCCTTCTTCGGGCGGAATGGCTGGGTCTTCTACCGGCTGGTTCTTAGGCTCGGACATGTTTGTCTAGCCCAGAAATCCCAGGCCAGAATTGTTCTAATATATGTTCACAGCCCTTCTTGATTATTTAGGGATGCATGAGGCGAATTACAAATTCTAGGGGAAAAAGCCTCCACAGGGTCCCGGACAGTGACTCGGTCTACGACTGGCTAAGTCCGACCGAATAAATGCGGGCGCTAAGATAAGTATCTGGGTTTCGATGAGAAGCTTCGTCTCGGGCCTTCGGCTCTCGTTATGTCCGATGGGGCCCACGCGACAAGGATCTTGCTCATCAAAGTCGCGCTAATTATGCGAACATTTGTCGCATCGGGCATGAAATTGACCGTGTCATTGCAAAGACAAGTGCGATCTGACCCATATAACTTTGCAAGTCTTTGATCAGAAGAGTATATGATCTGTGTGTATTAATCGGACGTGGAGCCTAGGGTTGGGTATTCAGCTGAAGAGCAGTGGTCTCACCTTCTCCGTTCGCGACCAGCTAAAGCCCACAAAAAAGCCCACAAAGCGGCTGTGAGCAAGCCACACCAGGGAACCCTGGCCAGAAGACTCTCGAACCCATTATTGGGATGATGCGGCCCACATGGTACCCACAGTGCTGTAAACTCTGATGCCAACTGCCGGATCCAAGTACAGAGCAATGAACTTCATGGACTACTGCAAGACGTGCCCAACATTGGGACGTGTGCATGCGACACTTGATCAAGAATGACAGCAGATAATAATAATACTAATAATCATAACTAATATTCCCTCAGCATTGAGTCTCCAGGCTGATCCAAAGTCACCTTCTGTGCACACTGGATGTTTGCGGATCGAGGATCGACTTGGGCGTCAGCTTTGCTCAGGTCATCGCTTGGAGGTTTCTTGTCGGAGATTTTCGGATGTATCCGAAACGTCTGCTTGCAGCTGCCACACCGACATGAAAAAGGCACGTCTCATTCATCGGGCTATCCCCCGTCGCAAAATTGATGACGTGAACAGCAACTTACCCCCGCCAATCAGATGGCAGAAGGGTCAGATGCTTTCCCGATGATCGTCAAGTGAGTTCCCTGGACGATGCCATCCTCCCCGACGGACAGCCCTTATTCATCCGTCGGATGGGACAGCTAGTCCGTTGGACTGAGCTACTTCAGCAACATATGTAAAGCTTGACAGCCCCGTCTACATATGATGGCAGGCTTTGGTCTCTTTGAGGATGTTTGAGTTCTTTTGGTAAAGGGGACAGTCATCAGACATGCACATTACGAAGATCCCCCGGCATTTGGTCGCATTAAGGTGCAGTAGTAGGAAAACATATCCGGCTAAAAGACTCCTTAGTGCTTGCGTTGGTGTGAACATCGTCCAAGATCATCACAGGCGGTATCCAAGCAGGTGTTCAACCGAACAGCCCCGTGGCTACATTTGGCAGGGAGCATCCTTGTCGACTTGCATGGTAGATGTAGCTGCCTAGGACTTGTGAGTTCCAGCTGCGCAGGTTGTATAGGTGATCATTGCCCAAGTCTTGTGACAGCCACGTGCTTGAGGTCAAGCTGCGTTTCCAGCAACGTTCCTGCCCACTGCTCTTTAGTAGTGCGGTAAATGAATCTCCATTAATCTTCCATATCCCCGCCAAGATCGGGCTTTCCGAACGTATGATCTTTTGAATGCGACCGGGCGAGAGGGGTAATTAAACAAGTGGCAGATCAAACCGTAAAATAGAGAATTCGGTGGTTATCCCGCCAGCTATACCTAGCTGAGCAGACTTATAAAAAGACGTAACAAAGTCAGAACATGGTGAAATTAAACTGTGCTCCCCAATGGTGATGTGGACATGATAGCAAGTTTGCGACAGCGGTTGTCTGAGACACGATGGAAAGACTGTAACAAGTCTGAGGGAACATCTAGTCCAATGGAAATAACACAGTTCCCCTATTGCACATAATACAATACCCTCTTCTTGAGCATTATCAGGATGGCCCATATTCATTTTATAGTCGACAGTCACTCCTTATTCTAATGATGGACCGAGGCCAGGCCGGGGCATATAGCCGACCCCAGAAAAGCCGCGCCCCCACGGTCGGCGATGTTCTCCGATCGGGGATGCCCTCAAAAAGTCGGGGTTATTCCCACGAAGAAAATCCCAATCGATCTCACAACCATCACCATGCCTACTACTCGTCCCATTGTCCGCGCGGCATGCCATAGCCTCTCAAGTATCCGGCATGCTTCCACAAACACCGCGAAGAAAGCAGGTCCTCTGGCCGGCATCACCGTGGTCAGTCTGGAACAAGCCATAGCCGCACCCTTCTGTACCCGCCAATTAGCCGACCTGGGAGCCCGAGTCATCAAAGTCGAACGTCCCGGCGTCGGGGACTTCGCGCGCAACTACGACACCCGCGTTAATGGCTTAGCCTCCCACTTCGTCTGGACCAACCGGTCCAAAGAGAGTCTCGCCTTGGACCTCAAAAAGCCGTCCGATCACAGCGTGCTAATGCGCCTGCTCAGCCGCGCTGATGTCCTCGTCCAGAACCTCGCCCCGGGCGCCAGTGCCCGGCTGGGATTATCCTACGCGGATCTCAAAGCCGCTCATCCTTCGTTGATCGTGTGCAATATCTCTGGGTATGGTCCTGACGGACCGTACCGCGATAAGAAGGCCTATGATCTGTTGATCCAGAGCGAAGCCGGCATGCTCTCCGTCACGGGGACAGGGAAAGAGCCGGCTAAGGTGGGCATTTCCATCGCTGATATTTCCGCCGCTAGCTATGCCTACTCGAATATCCTGGCGGCGTTGTATCAGCGGGAGAGGGATCCCGCGAAGCAAGGGTGCAACATTGATATCTCGATGTTGGAGAGTATGGTTGAGTGGATGGGGTTCCCCATGTACTATACCTATGAGAATGCCCCGGGTCCGACACCTGCTGGTGCTTCGCATGCGGCTATTTATCCGTATGGGCCGTTTGAGACGGGTGATGGAACGGTGATGTTAGGGATTCAGAATGAGCGCGAGTGGGCCAAGTTCTGTGACATCGTATTGGGTCGAGCTGATTTGGCTACGGATGAGCGGTTTGTGAATAACTCGCTGCGGTCGCAGAACAGAGATGAGCTGAAGAAGATCATCTGCGACGTCTTCTCGTCGCTTTCTGCGGAGCAGGTCATTGCTCGACTGGATGAAGCGGCGATTGCGAATGCCAGCGTCAATGACATGCAAGGCGTCTGGAACCACCCGCAGCTGAAAGCCCGGCAGCGATGGACTGATGTTGAGACTCCAGCGGGGACTGTGCCGGCCCTGTTGCCTCCTGGAATGACCCTGGGTGATGCGGATACTTATGGGGCGCGCATGGATGCGGTCCCTGAAGTCGGTGAGCATAACAGGGCGATTCTGGCTGAGTTGGGACTCGACGAGGGTACAGAGAAATAGTGATAGATACTTTAGACTATGTACATCCTCATGAGTGTTTGAACTTTTTACCCCTTGTTAATACGTAAGTGGACTGGCTGGTGTTGCCACTCAAAGGCTAGAGGTACGTAGACTGCATACTGATCAGACGTAAAGCTAGTGGGTCGCATCATGAAATTTGCACTCAATCTCTTTCCGAAACAAGCTACTGCTACGAATCCTTGAAATTTCTCACTGTGGCAGGTTCGACTTGTCCGTGAATATCGGCACCATATCCCCATCGCCGAAGCAGGTGGATCGGGAAAGCAGGCAAAAAGGCCGACATCCTTGCCAAGACCGAGGTAGCATAAAGCCGCTTTTATCCTCGACGACGGCTACTTGCATTGTTCCCTGGTCACCTCTGAACTCTACTGCGGACGATCTCTCCTTCAATAGTAGCTGGAACTAGCTAAAATCAGAATCATGTCCAGTCAGGAGGCCTCTGGTCACCGACAGGTGAGAACCAGAGCCAAACAGGCTTGTCTCCACTGCAACCGCCGGCGAATCCGCTGCAATGTGCTACAGATGCGCCCATGTCAGAATTGTCTCTCGTTGAATGTGCCCTGTGAGATAGGAGTTTCGAAGCGAGGAAAGTATGCTTTCCTTATTCTCATTGCGGCCGTGGGACGTGGACTGATTCAGGGCATAGGTATCCCCGTAAGAAGACTGCCCGGCAACATGCTATGTCACAAACGGACGGCAATTCGGTCCAATTACCGACATCATCGGGGAAAGGAAGAAGCCATTCAACGTCACCGTCGGGTGGTAAAGACGAAGAAAGAGAGCCGCATGTTCATCCGATGTCAGGGGATGCTGCCAGTGCCCACCAGACGGTGTTCTTTGGCGAATCCAGTCCACTCACTGTAGTCATTGACGAAGGGCGCCGATCGCCTGAGAAAGGGAGTGGTGAACTGCACATGACTCGCTTTCACTATCCCATTCCAGAGAAGCTCAACGCTTTCAATACCCGAGATGAGGCTTTTCGTGCACATAAAGTCAAGAAGGAAGACCAGCTTAGAGCTGACGGGGCCTTTTTGTACCCCCCGCCGGAGACATGTGCCATTCTTCTGCGGGCGTACTTTGATTGGTTTCATCCCTGTTTCCCGATCCTTGATCGTGCTGCTGTGTATGAGGGCTATGCGCAAGGGATCTTGTCGCCCCTGCTCCTCCAGGCTATGCTGTTCATTGGTGTAAGCCTTTGCACGGACGAGGCGTTTTCCCAGACGGAGTTCCCCGTTCGATACTGGGCGAAATTGCTTTTCTACAGCCGAGCAAAGGCGATATATGATGCGGAATGGAAGTCTAACAAGACGGTCAAGATCCAATCGTTGTTTCTGTTGAGCTTCTGGCGTGGAGGTCCTTCTGAAGAGCGGGACATTCGATTCTGGCTGGGAATTGCCATTGACTTGGCTCAAAAGCGCGGCATGCATTTGATGTATGTGTTTTTCTATTGCACCATGTCACCTGCTAATCCAATCAGGTCTAAGTTTTCTTTTGGTTCCGGTCGAGAGGCAGGGCTATGGAAGCGAATTTGGTGGTCGCTCTACGTATGTCTTCTCTCATAAACTTGGTGTTAATACTAACCGTTGCCAGGCCCGAGACCAGCAAAGCGCCGCAGCACTTGGGCTGCCGCCGCACATTCGGGATGAAGACTGTGATGTCGCCATGCTTGAGCCAGATGATATCCGGGAAGAGGAAGCGGGAGGACAAGGTCTTTTCGGTGTGCAGTGTATAGAAGATCTCCGTTATCCGGCCGAGATGGCCAAGTTGGCCAAATTATGTATGTCCGAACCTCCCGACTTTGAATCTTTGCTTACCGTTCAGTGCGTTCTATTGTATCGACCCATTATTCGCCGGTATCTCCCTCATCCAGCGGCACGTCACGAGCGGTGTTGCATGAGCAACTGGTGGACTGGGAATCCGATATGCCTCCTGAGCTGAAGCTCGAAAACGCCACAAGTCCGCGAGCCAGGTTCCTAGCGGGACTCTTACAAATGACATACCAGTAAGCAACATTCATTTGACTCGAATTGACTCCCCTGACTGGTCAACGTCTAGAAATCTCTATGTCCTGCTTTACCGATCGTCATTTCTTAATCCACCGGATGGTATCTTGGACAGCCAAGGCCAGATAGCCTTGGATGCCGCGACCAAAAGCACACGAGTGTTGGAGGATATGCTCTCGCATAATCTGGTCCAACATGGACCTCCACATCTGTAAGTCTCCGTCGATAATCTATACAGGTATCAAGCTGACCATGTAGAATCACCCACGCGTTCTCAACCCTCTGCATTCACACCATCGAGTTCCGTCGCTCATCTGGGACAGGCCGTAAACTGGCGGAACACCGAGCCAGACTCTGTCTCCTGAGCCTACAGGAGCTGCAAAAATCCTGGGACTTGGAGAACTGGGTATTAAACCTGTTCTTCCGATGCTTGGATGATAGCACTGCCCGTACTCTGCGACCGGTGGATGCCACTGCTCCGCCCCCAAAGACCGAAGCCCGCGATTATGTCCCTGCCACCCCAGATGCTTTTCCTGCTCTCAATATGAACCCAGAGGGACACACGCTCGACGCACCTTGTCAATCGGCGCACTCGCCATATCCCACTGGTGATATTAGCGCCCCCAGTGATTGGTACGGGCTGTTCAATTTTGCCGAGGATTATACCGACATTTCGGGGGTCATTTCCAGCCACGACCCGTCTATAAATCTGCAGAATTTGGAGATTCTCTACCGATTCTTATGACGAAATCTGTCCCACTTAAAAAGTCTGCACTCACAATGGCTGCGACCGCACTTTTCCCAGCCTAGTCAACAAGTTCAGCTCGGAGGAGGATCGTCTTGGCAGAGTTCGGTACTCGATCGCGCTAAGCGGGCAAGGCGTGGAGCATCGTCCGCGTGCGAGTCAGTCAGCTCACTCCCTGCCGAGGCCAGGCTGATCCCGTATTAATTCCTGGGTTCCCCTCTGTCAGATTGACCTCAACCTCATCTTTGCTTTAAACTTATCTTACGGCACCATGTTCGGTGACTTTCCCGTCGACAACAAAATCGTCCTGGTGACGGGAGGAGGATCCGGTGAGGCCTCAATTTGACCCTCACTTCACCCCTTCTCCACATCACACTAACGCACCACTCAGGGATCGGATTGCAGCTCTGCCGCCAGGCCGCCGCCAAAGGCGCCCGAATCATCATTGCCGATCTGCGCCTCATTCCCGAAGCCCAACAGTTTGTCGACAGCTCCGACGCCGTTATTTTCCAGCGCTGTGACGTTCGTAACTGGGCCGAGTTGCAAGCCCTCATCCAGCTCTCGCAAGACAAATGGAACGATGTACCCGACGTCTATGTCGCATCAGCTGCCATCTTTGAACCCGTACGTGTTTCTTCCTAACCAAGTATCTCTCGGTTCATCAAATATTTCACGGTCCCCTCGCTCACGGATCTCAAAATCAGTCATGGTCCAGTTTCTGGGAAGACTCGGAAACGACCGACTACGCGTGTATCGACATCAACATGAACCACCCTATCAAGCTTACTCGACTAGCCATCCGAGCTCTCCTGGGTAAGGACAAGAAGGGTGTCGTATGCCTGGTCTCCTCTATCGCGGGAATAAATGCTTCGATCCGAAGCCCCCTGTACTGCGCATCCAAACATGCCATCTGGGGCTTCGTCAAGTCGATGGCCATGCTTGACCGATTGGAGGGCGTGAAAGTCACCTCCATCTGTCCAGGGTATTTCATCCCCTTTTATCCTTCGAGTCTCCGATTTACCTAGAGCATGCGCTAACGTCAACCAGCGTTGTCCCCACGCCTCTGTGGGACTCCGTCCCCGGTGTCCGCAAGCATCTATCCTATGACCGAGTAAAACATGTCCCGGCAGAAGAAGTGGCAGAGTACATGCTCGAGCTTATCCAGCAGGGCAAATACTCTGGCGGTTCAGTGGTGGAGATTACCAGCTCTGGCCCGGACGGTCGTAGAGTCATCCCGCCGTGGAATGTGTCGCCACCGAACGTGTATGCCGGTGCGGATAAGAAGATGTTGGCTAACTTCATCGAACCGGTCCGCGAAGCCTTGAAGAAGGAGCGGAAAGCGAAGCTGTAATCATTATACCCTTTAGTTAATATACCCAGTGAAGACACCTAGAGCATCAGGACGGAGTTACCCATTCCAGAATATCCCTTTCTGTCCTGACTCTTCCATGCAATACACCACATCAGTTATCTATAGCCGTGTCTCTGCAAATTTTCTGCGGTTGATATTTCGACGTCCACTGCTATCTAATTCTACAGATAAACACCTAATGATACTTGAGTTACCTCTCTTTTGGGTTGATACACTTTGCCTGACTACAATTTCTCCCCTCTCGTCATGTCCGTGTGCAAACTCAGTGGATTAGCCTCTAGCATCTAGAAACCACCATAACAGACATTCTCTAGCACTGGATCTTGGCCAATTACTTGGCAAAGCCCTTTGAATTTTCGCTTTGTATGGTCGTCCCATGATCAAAACTATCGGCATATATAGAGGTATGATAATGAGATGCCTTAGTATAAACCATTCTGGAATAAGTTATGCATTAGGCCCGAAAAATAAATGTGCTAGTTAAGCACGAGCGTTTCAACTGACTTGTTTCATCGATCATCGGTGGATTGATTAGTAACCATAGTAAGCCCGTGACATTAGTAGTGAGGGACATCCTCATATATAGATCATAGATACTATAGACAGTAGTGACTAGTCACTGAAAACTGTTTAGTCATATTGAATTGAACTATACTGCCGGAAATTTCTATCTTAAGCGCCTTTTAGGGCCTATTTGGATAATGGTTGTGCTGGAGTAGTAGTACCATTCATACTACTCAGTAGCAGGCGCAATGGACCCAGCCAAAATATATATGTCTGGGAACCACAAACGAGTGCCACTATGGACTAACACCCTCGTAGAATTTTCCGCAACGGTAGTATATTAGACGCAGATGCTTGTATCTTTGATATACTATTGTGTCTCGCGTTACGGTCTCCTTCATCAGCTCTCTTACGTGTATTGTCATGTCCTATCCTCTCACGCTGTCTCGTCTCACTTAGTAACCAACAAGACGTTCCCGAATCCATGCACATGATGGCATATCTTTCCTAGTCCTGAAGTACAATGTTCAATGCAGAATCTCAATTTTCATATGTTGTATATCAATAAGATGCCAATAGGCCAAATGTAACGCGAATACGGGCAGCATGGAACTGAGTTCTACGATGATAGCATAATCTAAGGGTTATATGGTCAGCAGAGAGAGCTTCCAGATGGCCATTTGTCAATGCAGCTGAGTAGAGAGACTGGAATTTTCTGTCGCCTTATCTAAGATAGCCCCAGAAACCATGTAGCGGCTCTCCTAGGCCGTTTAAAGGGTGTCTGGAGAATGATTTTGCTGCACGCGGTCTAACATATTCCAGCAAAGATGGTTTATGAGTATTATTGCGGTAGGCGAGCGACAATCAGACGAAACACTATGCTCCTAAAGGAGCGTAGATCGTGCAAGGATCATGGCACCTACTTAGTAATGACGGAAGATCTTGAGGTGTATTGGACTGGTCTATGGGAGTGATGGCAAGATATATAGAGACTGGTGCGTGCGCTATGCTCTCTAGAGCTTCGAGAAGAGATCACCTGATCCGACTGCTTACTCTTACTCCCCTCTCCATCCCGATTCCACTCGCTTACTTCTCACTTCAGCTCCCTCACATGGGATCTAGGGCGTGGCCAAAGATTTACCCGGTACTGCATGGTGCAGGGTAGCAGTTGAACGCTTCCAATCAACATGTTATAGAGACTATGTATGATCGAGGAAGCCTTCGCTGAGGAATCGGAATACAGGCTCACTGCCTCGTGGATTCTGCTAAATGGGTCCACGAGCCCCCACTGCATGAAGACCTTGCCCAAGAGTATAGTCACTCTGAGCTCATTATGATCAGGCCATAGCATCATGCCACGATGCATCTGCCAAACATAAGACGAGGACCCTGCCTACCTGCTCAACTCTCTGCTGCGATAGATTCGAACAGCAGTGTCAGCCGGCGCCTCGCCGAGCTGGCCCTATTGACTTAATGACTTACCTTTCAGCTCAGAAAGGGCTCGGAAGCCATTGCGTTGTTGCGTCGGACACCCCCGGTTCCTGCAGGACTATGTACTTCATTATTGCTTGAAGGAGATAACCCCCCACCAACCATCTCATAGTGGCAGTACTGGCTTGGCAATCAATGAAAGCATACCTCACCAGTCCGACTCCGGGGTGACCAGAGACTCGAGACGTGTTCTAGCTGAGACACTTCTTCCTTATCTGACGGCTGAATCAAAATGGGTGAATCCTCATCCGGGGGTTTCCACCAACTTGCCCCCCAAGGTTACCGGCTTATCAATCGTGACTCAACATGATACTCCATAATCCTGCAGCTGTTTAGTGCGGGATTGATAGGGTCACCACCCCACCGCGGTTTTTCATCATGCTTGAAGTCGAGAGGTTACATTGGAGTGCCAAGGGAAAGCTCCCATGAGGGAGTTATTGCCCATGGCAGGCGTTCAGTTTCATCTATTCGACATAAGGAGTATGCAGACCGTCGACGGAGCCCGGCTTCACCTACCTAATCAGGCTTATCTCCGGTAACGGATCATTACTGACCGATGCGCTGCTGACGATCCCTCTCGTGCACCGCCATGGTGGCATACCCGTCTTCTCGTTCCCGCCGGCAGTGGTTTATTCCCCGTATTCTTCCCCCAAGCGGTGACCCTGAGCCGTGTCCAGGTCCCCGCTGGGCCCTGTGCCAGTTATGATCAAAATAGATCTGATTTCAAAGGGTCGCTTCGCTATCGAAGGGACGATGCTGACGACGCGTCGGGTCTGGAAGCGGAAGGTGAATTGTGGATCTGCGGCCTTCCCGAAGGAACGCCGTCTGGGGTTAAATTCTAATCCGACTTCAATCTATCTGGACGTTCGAGGTCCTCATCCTGCGCGGCTTGCAGCGTCGCCAAGCAGACTTATGCAGCTCTAATAAACTGTCTGCTGCAGTGGCCAGCTAGTCCATCCCGGTTGGGTCGACCTAATTGACGACTCCGTCGGGTGCAGCCGTTTGTCTTTTCGGCGGGATATCCCCTCCTTCTGTCAAGAGATGTGTGTAGGTTTCACCTCGAGACCCGATGGCTATTCTGTAAGGTACCGACTGGGAAGTACATGGAGTGGGACGAATTAACTGCGACATATTGGGTCAGGGAGGGAATTAACCTGCCAATGAGGCCATTCCGACAGGGCATGTGAAGGAGAGATCTGCTCACGGTGGGCCGAACCGAGTGGACTCATCCCATAGTAGAGCCGGCCGATCTCCCAGTGTCCTTTAACGGATTACAACTGCTGAGTACTATCCGGAAAGGTCGTTCGGCCCGCCGGTGTCTGCAGGACATCCTCCGCCAGCCAGTGAGAGATAATGCATTATTCTTCGTGTCGGATGGCCCCCGATCGTCGTGATCAGCATTTCCCAGCGAATTAGTCTCGCGTTGGTCTTCCTTCCGCATTCTCTCTCGTCGAATCCGCTTTCCTCACGCTGGCTTGGCATCTCCATCGCGGCTTGGCACAACCACCTGAAGTCTATGCGCCTTCCACATCCGGCACCCTGGTTACTATTCCCAGCATCCTTCCATCACTCCAAATTTCTGCAGAAACTTAGGTTATGATAACCTGGAACGATAGTCGCCATCAACTCATCCACTCACCCACAATGCCCAGACTGTGGAGAATGTGGGTGGAAGAATCCTATTGTGGGAGGTTTACATCACAACCATCCACAGCGGCCGCTCTGGCACGATGGCCTTCTGCTACTGACGGTCTGGCCAGCCCATCCAATATGTTTCTCTACATGGCTGGTATCTCATTTGCATGTGCAGCCTATCACAGTCCAGATAATCCAGTCTCCATCAGCTCCATCCTTCGGAGTATATTGGCCTTGATTTCATTGAAACCTAAGGGAGACACCTGAGGACCCATGGGCTAAGCTCGCCATCGGTTGCTACACTGATGCCAAGTGATCGACCTTGTTTGCAGGACGATCATCCCTCGGTGCACCACAGGTACCTGTATCGGATCGGCTGCACGAGAACTTCAGTGGCATTGAGACAAGGATGCCGAATAAACTATTATCCACCACAGCGTGATATTGATTGTACCGAAGAGGAATCGGGATCGCGAGTTCACTCCAAGATAGCTATATAAACCCCTTGGACATACCCTCCCAAACACCTCCTCAATCTCTCAATCGCATCGCAAGCATCCTCACATTGTCAAGCATCTCTGCAGCACTTCTCCTGGATTCAATATGCAAATCAAGAACGTCCTTAATTTGGCCGTCGTCGGCAATGCCCTCCTGGCCACCGCCCACCCGGGTCACCATGAGGAGCGTGAGGCCCTTCAGCAGCGCTCCTTCAAGCGCAGTGTGGCCCACGGTCTGCAGAAGTGTGAGGCCAGCCTGGAGGCCAGCGGCCTTCACGCCCGCGCCGAGGCCCGTCGCCGCGCCGTGGTCGATATGCACCGCCGTCAGCTGCAGGCCCGTGGCGACACCGCTGAGGTGTTGAACAAATCGCACCTGTCCACCCGTCCCATCTCGTCCAGCACCCCCGAGACCGAGGTCTTCAACGACGACAAGAAGATCTGCCTCCTCGGACCCAGCGCTGAGGGTGAAACCGGACCCTACTGGATCCCCGGCGAGCACATCCGCGGTGACATCCGTGAGAACGAGCCGGGTATTCCTGTCACCGTCGAGCAGCAATTCATTGACGTCGAGACCTGCCAGCCCCTCACTGGCATCTACACCGAGATCTGGGGCTGCAACGCCACCGGTGTCTACTCCGGCCTGGTGGCTGATGGCAACGGTAACTCCAACGACCTGGCCAACTACAACCGCACCTTCCTCCGTGGTGTGCAGCAGACCGATGAGGATGGAGTGGTGACCTTCAACACCCTGTTCCCCGGCCACTACGCTGACCGCACCACCCACTACCACAACATTGTGCACTGGGGCGCCACTCTGCTGCCCAACAACACCCTGGCGGGTGGCTCCATCCCCCACATTGGCCAGATCTTCTGGGACCAGGACATGATCAGCAAGGTCGAGTCCACCTACCCTTACAACACCAACTCGATCCCCATCACTACCAACGCAGAGGACCGCGTGGTCACCGTGGAGACCGAGAATGCCGACACCGACCCTTTCCTGAACTACGTCTACCTGGGTGACTCCCTCGAGGACGGTCTGTTCGCCTACCTCACTGTTGCCGTCAACACCTCGGCCATCCACTACCCCTACTGGACCAACGTGTACACTGCCAGTGGCGGCGAGTCTGTCTGCGGTACCTGCGATGGTGACCCGGACGCTGTTGACGGTGGTCTCCCCACCCCTTCTGCATCCGCTTCCGCTTCTGCCTAAACGCAAGTTGAGTCTCGACGAGGAAAGGAATGAAAATTTCTGAATGATGAGTGGATAGTTTTGTATATTTAGACTAGATGATGTACCTGACGGTGCTACTTCATAGCTCACGAATATGAAAGACTTGATTGGATACAGCTACCCCTTCGGAAACTGGCCGATTCGTAAGCACTAATGACTAAGCGGAGCGCTCCGAGGGCCTAGCCGCATCGGGAATCCCGGATTGATAAATCCCGCTATTTTCCCGTTTATCGCGGGCTTTGCTCAATCCGTTGAACAACGATCTTGTGGAAGGATGGAATCAGGGAATGTGTCTCGTCTTGGCATGCGGCATACTTGCCTGTTCTATGACTTGTTAACCAATTCAATCGTTGGTGAAATCGTTCTTGACTATGGACTAAACAGAAGCATCTTCTCCGGTGAGTGAGTGCAGTCCGATCGGCTGCTTTGCTGCGTCGGGTTTGCTGTAAGAACACGATGGTATCATTCAATGCTGCATGGGAGGTAGAGCAACTATTATGTACATCCTTGACGGTTGTCTGCATCACATGGTTCCTGAAATGGTCGGTGTGGGAGTGCAAATAAATGGCGGAAATAGGGCATATCAGACGATGCAGCCTGGAGTGATACCAAGTTAGTCAAGAACTAGCGCTAGTATACAATATATTGATCTATAACTAGTATCGGCTTTAGTCAGTCAATTACAATAGTACATGTTTTCAGATTCTATCTGGATACACGACAATAACTGTTCTGTTATGATACGGTGACTGCCTCCCTGGTCGTAGTAGAGATCCGCCTTGCAGGAGCGTTGTCGAAACCCATGCTTGTACATATTCCCGAGGAGATCTGATCGCCCGCGGCAGCTAAGCAGGGATTCGGTCGATCAATAAGCCCAGAACCCGGCGTTGCCGGCCACTTGATCTTGGGATTTGATAGAACTATACGAGGAATTGTACGGGATCTGGTGAGGGTTATGGTGACCATAACCCTACTAGAGAGCTTAGACAGGCATCACTATCATAGCCACCAACAATCTATCTGGCGTACATCTATCTGGTTATCTAGCTGTCACAGATAAGTTTAGAATCGGCCCACCTAGTGGATCCGACCATCTTATTTCTCTTTGTCAAATTCTGGCTTCATCCTGACATGACTCACATTCCCGAACCATTCCCGAGCGGAAATGACATCCATTTCCCCTCACACATTTTCTCCTCATAAAGCTTCCTTCCCAAAACTCAATTCCCGACTTTTTCTTTTTCCTTCTTTTCATCTTACATCTCCATATATCCAATAAAACCTTCAACAGGGTTGACACACAATGATCGTCAAACTCACCCAACCATACAGCTTCCTGGATGACTACAGCGAGGGTGCTCATCCACGCCTACTGCAGTCCCTCCTCCTCACCAACGCCACACAACAAACCGGTTACGGCACCGATGAATACACACACGAAGCTCGTCAATTAATTTATTCTCAAATACAAGCCACCGACGATGAAGTCGCCATCCACTTTGTCCCCAGCGGAACGGCCGCCAATCTCATCTCTATTGCCAGCTGTCTGCGGCCGTATGAAGCCGTCCTGGCTGTAGAAACCGGACATATCCTGGACAAAGAAGCCGGAGCCATCGAAGCCACCGGCCACAAAGTCATCCCCGTGCCCGGGGTCCGGGGGAAAATGACCCCCGAGAATCTCGAGCGGGTCTTGGATCGCAATACCTTCTTCCCGCACATGGCCAAGCCGCGGCTGGTGTACATCTCCAATGCGACGGAGGTGGGCACGATCTACACGCGGAGTGAGCTGCGGCGGCTGTCGGAGACGTGTCGACGGCGGGATTTACTGCTGCATGTGGACGGAGCGCGATTGGGGGTGGCGCTGAGCGCCGAGATGAATGATCTCACCCTGCGCGATATGGTCGATTACACGGATATCTTCTGGATCGGTGGCACGAAGATGGGCGCCTTGCTGGGCGAGGCGGTCGTGGTGCGCAGAAGTCTGGCCGAAGGGTTTGAATTTAATATCAAGCAGCGCGGAGCCTTGCTGGGCAAGTCTCGCGTCATGGGGGTGCAGTTTGCCGAGTTGTTTCGGGATGGATTGTATTTTGAGCTGGCTAGACATGCCAATGCCATGGCACGGCGCATTTCGGCGCAGTTTGAGCGCATGGGATGGGAGCTGGCGGCCGACACAGAAACCAACCAGGTGTTTGTCGTGGTACCGGATGCGATGCTGCATCGGCTGGCGGAGCGCATTCGGTTCTACGAGTGGGACAAGCGTGAAACTGGCACGGTGATTCGCATTGTGACAGCTTGGGCTACGGATGAGATGGCGGTGGATAAACTGTGTCAGTGGCTGGAGGCCATCTATCAGGCATAGTTGGGTTTGCTTCAATCTTAATGTCATGATAATAATACCCGAGCTATCTAATAGAGAGACAGAGAACCTGACAGACAGAGTTTAATATGATGAACTAATGAGATCTCCATGAGTCAATCGGAAGATTAAAATGGAACCCTAATTAAAAATAAACAGGGAGAGACAAAATGGCCGGGCCAGACTGTTGGGGAAATTACTTGATGGAATCCACTTGCTGCAATTTCCGTGACAAAGAATAGGGCATTTCCCCTCATTATTCCCGATATTCCTTCTGTTTTTCCCGACCGCCGGGAATATAATCTTGATACCCCTCACGTGCCCCTCACACAATTCCCGCCCCTCAATTCTGGCCAATTCCATCTCAATTTATTCCCGCGTCGGCTTTGAGGTGGTTTGCAATAATGCGCCTGTCCATTTCCTGCGACAGCTGTCGGTAAGCTAAGCTCCCTCACTTCAACTTCCATTCCATTCCATTCCAACCCATCCTGTCCAATCACTTTTACCAATTGCTCACTTACTAGACAATCCAAGGTCAAGTGCATCCACGATGGCCATCCTCCCTGCCGTCGCTGCCACCGCCTCAATCGCGATACTTGCGTCCTGACCGATCCGCGCTCTTCCGGTGTGCGTACGCCCCGAACCCCTCGCAGAGCCAGCATCAGAAGAACCGGTTCAGGTTCAGGTTCAGCATCAGGGATAGGAACAGGGACAAGAACAGCAACAGACGCAACGAGGACCACCGCGACCACTCCCACAGCCAGCTCGCCTGCTCCTACGCCCACTCCTTCTCATTCCGCCAACCCCATCGCTGCCATCGCTCCGGCCACTCTCATCGCAGCATGCGACATCTATCGCAAGAAATTCCCCGTCGTCAACTTCCTCCACTATCCCTCGCTGATCGCCGATCTCTCCCACAATGCCTCCGCGGTGGAACCCGTTTTTCTCTCAGCTCTACTTTCTCTATGCGCCCGCTTCATGCCCGACGCCGCCCTGGCTGCTCCTGAAACCTATGCCGAGTATGCGCGCTCTCAACTGGCCCATCGCGCCTTCGAAGCTCCCTCCCTCTATCTTGCACAATCCCTTGTGATGATCTCGTTGTATGAATGGGGGTCTGGTCGGCCTTATCGCGCATGGATGTGCAGCGGTACTGTTCCACTCAACTTACCCCTTCAGCCCGACCATCACTAACACAATGGGTGCATCCAGGCATGGCCACCTACATGATCCAATCCCTCCTCAAGACCGCCGATGACACCATGGAACAACAACCCCTTCTCGACCTGCCCGCTCATCGCATCACCTACGAACAGCTGGTCCGCACCTACTGGTGCTGTTTCGCGCAGGACTGTGAGCTCAGCTCCGGCGCCCGCCAACACTTTGCCCTCTCCTTCCGCCAGATCTCCGTGCCCCTCCCCATCAGCGATTCCGATTTCACCTTTGGAAAAGCCACGCCGCGCTTAATGCCGGCGGACATGAACCGCTCATCCTCTCTGGCACTGAATCTATCCATCGATCGAGGATTGACTATCGTCACACGGGGGTTTGACATATTCGTTCGCATACTGAGATTCGCCAATGAGAGCCGTCGCGGTCGGGCGCAAGGATCGGCAGGGTTGTCCCTTCGCTCGTGGGAGATGCTCAAAGCCGAGCTGGACGAGTGGAGGGGGCTTCAGGATGCGACGGTACGGTATCCCGAGACCAATGCGCAGGCGCATGTGGCTTTGGGGTCGGGGGAGTTGTTCGCCTATATCAACCTGGTGTATTTTATGAGGTCTGTTCATTTGACCGTCCCGATGTTTGATGTGATCATTACTGACAACGATAGTATTCTGTTCCTTTACCGCGACCGCTTCCTCTCCACCCCCAAATCATTCATCGACCATCACGATCCCGCCGACGACGAAGCCATTGACCACCTCTTCGCGACAGCCCAGCACATCGGCGCTATACTCGCTGCTCTCGAGGCCTGCGCTACTCCTGTCATTACCCCTTACGCAGGGTTCAGCGTCTTCGTCGCCGCCCATATTAACATGTATGGGACTGTCTGTCCGGGCCGGTACCCGGGGGGTCTGGCGCGCGCGCAGGAAGAGAAGAAGATGAATCTGGAGTATCTGGAGCGACTGTGTCGGTTCTGGGATGTGGGAACGAGCTGGGTACGACCACCCCCACACCTCCCATCCAATATCTGTTGAAAGACTAACAGGTGATAGTGGCGAACCCTCCAAGAAGCCAACCGGTTCTATGAAACTGCCCGAACCAGCGCCCAAGGCCCTACGGGCGTTTCCCGCCCGGAGCATCTCACCCTAGCTGGCACCCTCGATGAATACGGCGATATTCGTGTCTCGCGACCTGAAACGGCGCCTGCTTCACGACGGCGCCCGGGGGTATCTTCGGAGGGAGTTGGAGTGCGACGCATGTCGGTAGCCGAGCTAACAGCGCCAGGCGGTAGTGGAAGTAGCGGTGGTAGTGGTGAATGGGCAGATGTGGAGGCGGAGATGTGGCAGTGGCCGTTCCTCGATGAGAATTGGTCGCTGGGATTCGACACGGGGTTCGAGTCGGCGTGGCCGGGGTTGAGCTGATGGCAGCG